GGGGCCCCTCCCCCCCCCTTTTCTTTTTTCCCCCGGGGGTCCCCCCCCCGGAAAGGGGGGGGGGGGGGGTATTTTTTCGCGAACCCCCACAAAAGGGGAAAGGGGGCGGCCCGGGGGGCCCCTTCTTTTTTTTTTTTTGCCCCGGGGGGGGATTTGTGGGGGGGTTTTTTCCCGGGGCTGGGGGGGGGTTTTTTTTTCTTTAAATTAGGGGGGGGGGGGGGGGTTCCCCACCCGGGGGAAGAGGTCCCCCGGGGGGGTTGGGGTTTTTTGGGTAAAAGGGGTTGGGGAAGGGCCATGGGGTTTTGGGACGCCCCGAAAAAGAAACCCACCCCTTTTTTACCGGCGGGGGGGTTTGGGTTTTCCTTTTCGGAGGGGGCCTTTTCCCCCTTGGGTCCCTTTTCGGGCCCCTTTGCCCCTTTTTTTCCCTTGGGGGGCCCACCCCCCCTTCTTTACCCCCCCCCCCCCCCCCCCGCAAATCTCGACCTCTTAGCATGTTCCACACACCCCAAGTTCCACCGTCAACCCAATCGTGTGGGCGTCTCCTTGGCGTTGTCACCGGCAGGTCCTGACGTCGTCAGTGCGGGAGCTCGTCATGTCGACGCTGGCCGGAGAGCAGGCGCCGGAGTTCGTCGAGAAGGTGCCCGGCGCGGACAAGGTGGTGGTCGCGTGCGTTTCCGGGCTGGGCATGGCGAAGGCGGAGATGTCCATGGCAGAGGAAGGGGTGAGGAGGAGAGAGATTGAAGGCGACGGGGGGGGGGGGGGGGGGGGGGGGGGGGGTTTTTCGGGGGGCCCGGGGGGGGGAAAAGCTTTTTTTTTTGGGGTTTTTTTTAAGGGGGGTTTCGACCCAATTTCCCCCCCAGGGAAAACACCTTTGGGGGGGAAAAAAAAGGGGGGGTTTTTTTTTTTTTAAATTGGGGCGGGGTTTGGGGGGACCCCCCGTTTTTTTGGGACCCCCCCCCCTCAAACCCCCCCCCGGGGGGGCCCCGGGGGGTCCCCCCTTTTTTTCCCCCCCCCTTCCCCCCCCTTTG